AAAGTATTTTTTACATTGTATTGAGCAAGAAAAGACGAATGGATTGGTTTGTGTCTAGTTGATTTTGCATTTAGTTTTACTGTATGCTTGTTCTTCATTCTCTTCTCATTCAAAATTTTATACGGTATTTTTATCGCAACGATTGGACAGTAATACAACTACAACAACAGTAATTGATTCTAGTGACAATAGTTGAGTAATTCATCTTTATGTTCGTTGATACAAAAATCTCCGCTACATCTATTATTGTTCTTTCTGATATGTGTAATTTATCTCAAGATGAAGAGTCTTGCTTGCAGCTGAGAACCTATTGAAACAAAAACCCAAAATAAGAAGCCAGCAACACACTCGGTTACTAATCGATTCAAGTAATGCGTGATTCGTAGCGATTTGTAAAACTATCAAATATTCTACACATTTCAGTTCCATCCATGTAAATGTTCCTCTTCGCGACGAATCAAGCATTACTTGAATCGATTAGAAACCGAGTGTGTTGATGGCTTGTAACAAACCATTTTATACCGTTGGATAGAGCATACGCTGAAATATATAAGTACAGTTTCAATATTTTACCTAATGTCACGCTCGTTGCCTACTGTAAATTGATCTTAGGGAGCGTGCTAAACATATACGTACGCAAAAGAAACAATATCATTATACTCTTAGTATGCTTAGCTCAGAACACAATCCACAAATGCTTTCTTACGAAACTCTTCTGCGATATTTCTACATTGAGCCGCACATTGAGGGCACTTGTTCTTAGAGTGTATATCATTCAGATATTTCCATATTTTTCAGAGTGTGTTCCTTATCCATTGCTGCTTGTTGTTTGTATTTCTCAAATTCTGCATCATTAGCATAAAAGAACGTGCAGTGATTTGTTATAGTAGAGGGAAGTTTTGAAAGCCGTTAGGCAGAGCTGTGTATGTGTATGCAAATTGAAGAGAATTCGGCGGGAGTATTTGCTCATAAAATGGTTTACCACTTGCTAAAGAATAATGTCCGAATTGTTGCGTTACCTCAAATTATAGAAGACGGCCGTAACAGAGATACAATTTAAAGATGCTGGTATTCTCTTCACATTCAATTGTCTCACCTTGAATAGTTCATTCCAATCGTTTGCCGGTAAATCATTGAATACAACCAATATAGATGGTATTTTTTCACGTGAATATATTTCGTGTAACACTTGAATTATTGATTTCATCGCTATTGATGCATTGGCACCGGATGCCGAACCATAATCTGCAATTAAGAACAGTTCATCACTATTCCCTAATGACGCTTGATGTTTTTTAACAGCCAGCTGAATAAAAGTAAATGGTTTTTCTATGATGGATAATTTGGTTTGACTACTTTCATTATAATTCACCATCATCACATTTGATGTTCTCAGTTTTCGATGGTTGACACATCTAAAATAAGAAAGGCACACTTAGTTCTAAACTTACTACTGACGTGAGCTAAACATTCGCGTGTATCATAGACTCTACTGATGGTCAGTACACTCGGTTAATTAGAATGGCAATTTAAATAAAAGACATGGCACATCAAATTACATTTCTTTTGTAGAAGATAAGACATTAAACCGTTATATGATTATATTTCCAAAAAGCTAAAGTACAACGCAAAAATATAGTTTTAACGAAATATCGGTCTAGAGTTATATTTTCTATTTCAACATTTCATTGTCTTTATAAGTAACAAGTGTTCTAGTTCCATTTCTATATATGAAGACTCCTGGACTGTTCATTGTACCATTTATCCATTCGCCAACATATTTGTCACCATTCGCATAGAAAATTGTGCCATGACCGTTCTTCGTACCATATTTATGTTCGCCGACATATCTGTCACCATTCGCATAGAAAAATGTACCGTTACCGTTCGCATAATCGTTTTTCCATTGGCCGTCATATTTCTCGCCATTTTCACGAAAATATGTGCCGCGACCGTGCAGTTTACCCTGTTTATATTCACCAACATATCTGTTTCCATTCTTATAGTAAAATGTACCGTTACCGTTCGCATCATCGTTTTTCCATTCGCCGACATATTTGGAACCACTCACAGCGGACATTGTACCGTTACCGTTCCTTTTTCCGTCTTTCCATTCGCCGACATATCTGTTACCATTCGCATAGAAAAATGTACCATGACCGTTCTTTGTATCGTATTTATATTGCCCGTCATATTTGTCACCATTCTTATAGAAAAATGTACCGTTACCGTTCTTTTTCCCGCTCTGCCATTCGCCGACATATTTGTCACCATTCACATAAAAAAATACACCGTGACCGTGCATTTTGGCGTCTGCATATTCGCCGTTATATTTCTCACCATTTGCACCGACAAATACACCCTGACCGTGCATTTTACCGTCTTTCCATTCCCCTAGAAGCAATTATCCTGTAAATTAGCCTATGTTTTCTTACAGAAATCCAGCTCCTTAACCGGATGTCGCTATTTGCTTCAAAATATCCTAATCCTTTACGACTGTGTTTCAACGTGGCTACATTAAAATAGAGTTAGGGATATTCTGTCTTAATGGTAAATGAAATCGCACACTTGTTCTCGAGAGGCTGCTGCAAAAGAAGTTGCTCACATTTACGCACATGCCCTAGACGTCGGTCCTTCTATAAGCATCAGTTAAGAATCTTATACGAAACCTATAAGTACCCAATAAGATTCACG